ATCAACAAGATTCGATCAATGTATGTATTCGGCCCCCCCCTATACTCGAATCCCGACTCCGCCACTGCTCCCTCAGGCGGACCGCGGACCCCTCTTCGTCCGGCCAGCGTCCCAACGATGAGGACGCAGCAGGCTATCCGGGTGCACGGCCGTCACCGCGCGCGTCAATCTCCGTAGCCGGCCACCACTGACGCTCGGCTTGCTGCCGGTGACGCCCATCTCCAAAGCCGGCAACCAGAACGCCCACAGCCCCACCAATGGCCGACTCCAGGTCCTTGGCCCTGACGTCGCTCGCCACGTGCAGGCCGTTCTGCGTCGGAAATCTTCCCCAGCCGGCGATGAAGCGGTAGGCCTAGTTGCAGCCCAGCTTCTTGCAGCCGAGCACGGGCCCGTCGCGGCGGTCGTAGGCGGTAGGCCTGCACTCGCACGCACGGCTTCTCTTCCGCCGTCAGGGCCTTGTCCAGCGGGAACGGCTACCGCGGCGCTAGCTCTCTCTTGCACGGCATGAGCAACCGGTGCTGCTTCAGCACCCGGTCCGTCTTTCGCGCTTCGCGTAGACACACACCGTTGGGGACGCTCCCAGTCCCAGGTCCTGATGTCCCGTAGTGCAGCGTCCAACGGCGATCGCGTCGACCGACGGGTCGTCCTTCGTGGCTGACGCCGGCTTAGAACACGCGGTCGACCAAAAACGACACTTCTTGCTTGCAGAAGATTAGGCCTGGCGGAAGGCGACATGAGGCCGGGGAGCGATCTGCAGCAGGAACACGGCCACGGCCGTTGCGCACGCGATTGATGATGGCTGCCTGGATTCCAAGAGGATGACCCCGCCGGCCTCGACCAGAACACACAAGAGCATTACTAGTAGAGCCCTCAAACCCTTAAAAATAACTGTTTTTTTATAGTTTTTGTCGAAAAAAAACCGTAGACTAGAACCTTTTAACCTTTGAACCCTTAAATTTTTTTTAAATGTCCAACCCTCGAACTCTCTCTCAATCCTCAAAAGTAAGGGTTGGGGAGCAAAACCTACCCTAACCCTCATTTGGCGGTTATACTCGCGCGGGAAGGAAAAATCCTCCCAACTCCCGCGTCCACGCCCGTGACCGCCGCTGCTAGTCGCCCCCGTCGTCGGCGGCCGCCCCGTCGACCTTCCGCGCACAACCACAACGTCGTTCATGAGGAATATTCCGTTATAAGAGTTGGGTTTGAGAGTTTTAATCTTTGTTCCTGTTTTTCAACCCATAAAAATGCACAAAAGAATTATTTTTAGACCCTTAAAATGTTAGTGAGGATTTAAGCGTTCTACTAGTAATGTTCTAACGAGGAACCATCAACGCAAACCGTGATGGATGAAGTGAAACAGCAGGGAAGGCCCATATTTATAGGAGATCCGTTAGAGTAGAAAACCAAATCGAACACATCAGCCTGGCCGCGAAACGACCAGAACAGCCGATCTAAGCGGCAACCGCCTATATGTCAACAGCCCACGTGTACTGAATCGAAGCCCAACTGTAATCAGTTGTTGTCGTGGCAGCCTTCCAGTAGAACAGCGGAGCACACGGGAAAAAGGAGCCGATCTGCCGACGCAAACGCGCGGCACGCAGCCACACGCATGCATGCAGGAGAAAGAAATTGAGGAGGAAAAAAAATAAAAAAAGCGGCAGTCAACGGACGGGCATGCACGGCCAACTGAATGACCACAAAACACTGGTATACACACATGCAGCCCAATAGGAACTGGAGGATCGGGCGGACATGCACATCAAACTGAAAACCTGCTAGAGACACCCAATAACGTACCTGCTCATATCCCCCAGTAAATAACGTGTCACTACCTCATTGGCCAGTTTTCACTGTGAGAAAAAGTCAAAAAATACAGGAAAAAAGAAACCTGGTCAGGTTTAGTATATTTACTAGCTGATACCCGCGCGGCGGCACGCCGCGCCTTACTTATTGGCGGTGATATATGTTGTTGTATAGTAAGTAAATATTCTTATGTTGATGATTTTTTTTTCGAAAAAGAGATTGGCACGTTTAGTTCGGCATTCATTTTTTATGGGATGGTGATCAAAGGAAGGAAGAAAATATTGGTTGGCTATTTTGATCGATGAGATAAATGGAATTTTCTATAGTTTTGGCTCTCTTCCCTTTAAACTTGGTCGGAGTGTATGCATGTTATATGAGACATATGTGGATCGGGTCCTTATACATGAGGTTTGATGTGTGGATCAAGCTCAAAACATGTGTTATCGATGCACACGTGTTACATATTCATGTGAAGGATGATGATATGATTTGGGTAGCTTGTGGTACAATGGGTTCTTTTTTATAGATATTGTTCGATCTCGAATGTTCTAGCCTAAGGGAGATGGTGCTAAAATAGGGATTCGTTGTGTGTGGGGCATTGCATTGTTTCTGTATATTGTTTTTTATGTAGACTAAAATAATAATAACCTTGGAGCTATACGGATGCTATGTGGACTTGAGGAAATAGAGTGCAATACATAAAGGAAAAAGGAAGATTTTATTTCTTATGGCGATAGAGTAGATGTTCTACTGTGTTCTGGTTTTCCCTCCGTGATAATGTAGTAAATAACTTGACCGAATTATTGAACTTGGTTGCGTGCTGGTGTTGGGCCAGTATATGGATTGTATGATCATTGGTAGCCGGGTGTTCCGAGCACATGTGATACAATCTAATATGTCGTTTGGGTACAGGTGATATAGTCAAATCTTTATTGGGTTACATTGCATCACCTTGGGCAGTATATAAGTCAGGAATTTGAGAACATGTCAAGTTTATTTATTGATGTCATTGCGCCCTTGTGTATTTAGTAGGAGGTCGATGAGTTTAAATATGGTTAGCTACACGCTGCTTGTGAAGTGTGCAGAACGGTATCTTTTGTGAAAACATGGATTGACAACAATCGTGGGAGTTCCACGTGATGAGGAATGAAGATGTGAAACTTGCATGATGAAAAATATTGCCCAGATCTAAATGACATACATGTACATGAGAGTAGAGGGATGTACAACATAACCGATAAGAATAACAGACTGAAAAACCTTAACAAGCTGACTGGCTAACAGTACGGTCAGTGTTACAACATGAAGGATCACTCCCATATTGTGCAGAAGTGTACACAAAAAGCATAGTATATGTTCCTAAGAATATGAACATTCATGAGAAAGTAAAAAATTTGCATACATTAGGAACTCGTTTCAGCATGAAATAGTTCATGTGTCGTCATATTTTCTCAGTAACAATTGCAGAGCATGATAAGAAGGATAGAACAATACTAATAGTTTCATTAGGCGGTTAACTACACAAATCATTGTCACCTTTTCTGCCTTATGATTCTCCGGAGAAATATCCTCCTCAAAGGGCTGTGAGGAAAAGGCATCCTAGGAAATATAGAATTTGGGAAATTCGTTACAAATCCTACGGCCACATCCAATAAAAACTGGAAATTCGAATATGCAAACACTGGAGATAATGGATCCTTTACTGGATAGGTTCGAAATTATTGCTGGACAAATATTTTCTAATGTACATTCAGGTCAAAAATTGAAGAAAATAATGACATGGAATGTGGGCCCACTTCTTTTGATAGCCTCATACATGAGCCTGGTGCAACATTTATGGAAACAAAGATGGTAGTGGCAAACCATACAATATTGCAAATCTGTTCAACAATTCCTCAAATGCACACATGCAAAGAAAACAACAGATGACCATCAATGCCAAGTTAGGAAATGTGTGTCAAGCATCAATAATTAGGGTGAATGAGCAGAAGCTTGCCTTGTTTCAAAAGAGACACAAAATAATGATACAGAAGGGCGATGAACATCCATAAAGGTTTTAGGAGTGAGAATGACATCATTTACAAAATCTTACATCCAAATAAAACTATATTGATAATCATGCCTAAAAGGTTAGGCAAAATCTGGTTTTTTCTACTCTTAAGTTATTTGTTGGAAAAAAAGGAAAATAGCTGCAACCAAACGTCATTGAACTGATGGAGTGACATATGAGAACACCCCTCCCAACAGAACATTCTTACAAAGAGGATGTTCATTTTTCAGACTTTCTTGCAGAGCCCGTGTAAGCTCCCCATCTTCTAAATGATCATCAATACCTGGTTCATAAAAAAAATGAGATAACATTAAAATGGTGCTTTCTATCAACTCTTCATTTTTTACAGCCTCCTTAACCTACAACTACTATTCCAAGATAGGCAATTTAATGACTCATACAACCAGACAATGAAATATAAATTTGAGAGTATCAGAACTGGTTTAGATTGGATAATACAAACCTAATGTTTCCCTTCATTTGATCTTTATCTGTAAAGAATAGTACAATAGTGCGATCAACAGTGAAATAATTAAACAAAGCAACATCCGGTGACTTATATAAAAAAATACAATATGGCGCCTAATATTCAGGAACCATCATGAGTTTGCTTCTGATACGAAATAAAGAGCTATATATTCGAGTTACTAAGAAATACAGTAGTGTATCTACACCATCCGTATACGGATCCAGTATGAGACCATCACCTAGCTACTACACGCATGCATCAAGCCCACACATCACACATGCAGCAGCAGCTAGCTCGTAAGCCCTGCACGCACGCGACGCAATAGCCCGCGCATGCAAGAAGCACGCCGCACACAGCGAATGCGCGGCAGCAGGGCGCACGGCAAGAGAGCGAGGAGAAGACAGTCGTGCGCTCACCGTCGTGCAGTTCAAGTGGAGGCGAATCGACAGGAAGCTGAAGAACCCTTTGTGAGGGTTTCCGCGCTGATATACCGGAGGCAACTGATCCTCACAGCGACCTCACGGGCCGGAAACGGCGGGGTGCCGAAGATAGGCGCAAGGTCGAAACGACGGCTGCGAGCTCGAGATGCATGCAGGCTGGGTGAGCTCGCGGCCGGAGTTCTGCATCGCGGACAGACACGACCTCGGCTCTCCTGCATGCGCCATCGTCTCTATACTCTCCTCTCCACGCCATGTCTGCGGTTGCCGCCGACACCGCGACATGCAGGAGCTTCTCGAGTCTCGACTCTCCACTCGAGTCCTTCTGCGGACAACCAGAGCTCCTCCACCACGCAGGCCATGGCGGCGAGCCGCCCATCCACGGCATGTCCTCAGAAAGTACCTATCCAACCTCCCTCCCTCAAATCGCTGCCGTCGCCCTCTAGCCATCGCCTTCGTCACACAAACCACCGCCGTCCTGTGAGGCTGCGCGTCGTCCATTATCGCGTCCAATGCACGCCAGCAAGCAAGCCGGTTTCCTCCGCCGTGGATGTTCGCGCCTGAGAGTGAGAGGGCCTGCTGCTCCTCAAGGCGGCGGCACTGGAGACTGGACGCAACCTCGCATGTATCAGTGATGAGCTCGGTGGATGAACCGACCGAGGAGGCGAGGACAAAGGAGGACGACGTCCACGGCAAATTGTTCATGCGGTCCCGTGAGCTACGCACCTTGGTAGGCCGCATGTGCGTGCATCTCCTGTCGCCGGCTGAAGGTGGAGGTCATAGCTTGCATGACCACGAAGCCGGCCACCACCGTGGCCCGCGCTCGGAATCCACCCCGCCATCAAAGCCTAGGGCCGCTGCCGACCGGCTCCACGGGCTGAAGCTGCGACCGATCCTCACCAGGCCCGACCGGTGGCGCAAAGAAGGTTGACTGGGAGGAGGAGGCCAAGAGCAGCTGCAGGGCATCGCCGACGGACAGGACGTGACGGCGACAGCTACTACATGTGAACCCGAGCGGCTGGTTGAAGGGAAGAAGGCCAGCATAGGAGCAGCCTCCAATGGCGACCACCATGCTACAGAGGGGGACTTCCTGGAGAGCATGGCAGAGATAGTCACGGCCAGGACGACGTCTGAGCGTCGTAGCGGGGCCTCGAGGAGCTTCTCGCGTGTTACCTCGTCGTCAACGCCACTAAGCACCACCGCGCCATCGTCACCGACTTCCGGCGGGCCTGGCTCGACGGCACGACCAACATATGCTGCCACCGAACTCTGGCTGCTTGTCCTCCACCCTGCCCATCCTGCTGTCGCTCTCCACAAATCGGTGCTGATAGAAGTGGTGGAGAATAGACAAAGATAGAGATACTGTTAGGAATTAATTAATTAGATTAATTAATTATAAATCCATGCTATGTCGGTGGTCATGTTTTGGCAACCGCCTTCTTTGTAACTGCCTTGTAATGAGGGTATAAATACCCCAATCTTCAATCAATGAAACAACTGTTCCATCATTTGCTCCATCCTCTCTCGTTTTTACTTTCACACGTTATCAGCACGCTCCTAACCGAGAGTGATTTGGCCGCAGAGAAGAAAGCGAAGGGGAAACAGCGGCGAAGCGGCTCTCTCGCATCTGGAGGCAGAGACACGGCCGGCGCGTGGCTCTCCGGCAACAGAGTCCTCGGGCGCGTGTCTATGGCACACCATGGACGGCCCGGCGGGGCCACTCTCAAGCGCGGTGCTCGCGCCCGCAGTACCCATCGGCGTCGAGCGGCGACCGCTCTTCTGGTGCGGCGCCCTACAGCAGGCGGCGCTCGGCACAGCAACCACCGGCCGAGTATGCTCTCAGGCAACACAGCGACCGCGGCGGTCTCCGGCGCACCGGTTACTCCCAGCAGCGCGTTGGAGATGTCTCCCGGCCTGGACAGAATGGTAGCAAACGCGACGTGTTCCGGAGATGCGGCGGTGGCCATCAGCCGGCGCGCGGCAGCACGGTCCTCGGCCTGGGCGGAGGCAGCCCACGAGGCACAAGACGCGGCGGCGCAACCACCGGTCTGCCCGCAGCCTCGCATGAACAGCGGCAGTGGTTACCACAACGCACGCATGGGAAAGATATTGGGGAATCTTATCCCTTTGGCTGTTGTTCGATTTTGTCCTCAGACTTCATCCTAACTACTTATAAATCCCTGTAACTTGGAGACATGCCCTTTTGGCTAATTGTTTTATGCAGATTAGAGCCTAGTATTGTTCTGTATTTTAGGCCATCAGGTTTTAATGCTACTTGAACACGAGCCCTCCAGATCATTGCTATTACAGATTATGGTTGAGTCCCAAGGCATTGACTTATGTTATTGACTGCGTCGATCATTCCATCTGGAATGCACCACAATATATTAGAATTCTTTATTGTAAGTGTAACAACTATGCTTTGCAATTGATTTTTCTTGCAGATCTTGATGAAATCCAAAAAAAAAGGATTATAAAGTGTCATACTTAATATGACCACCTCAAATCGCGTTTGTGGATAACAAGGTATTGATGGCATCTACTGCGCAATTTGCAGATTATCCATCACTACTGTGAGGTCTACATCTTGTCATTTCAACAAGATGACTACCTTCAACGTGCTTTATCAAATATTAATTTTAATGTGACTACCTCAAATTTATTTTTGAATCACAAGGTGTTGTGGCATCTACTGCACAGTTTGCAGATTATCCACTATTACTCCAGGGTCTACATCATGTCACTCTGACAGATGATTCCTTCAAAGTGATTTCATACATTTTGCTTAACATAAGGTAATAAAATTATGAACATCTACTGATAAAAGTCAGGCTATGTTTCTATTACTGCGAGATCTACACCACATCGGGTGATTATCTTCAAAGTGTTATCCTATATAAATTGAGGTCTACACATATGAATGTATAACATCAGCTGTCATAAAATTTGCTCCTCTGAAGCATTTGTTGTTGTTCACTAGAATGATTTACTCTCATAGTAAATATTATTCATGCGCAATCACTATCTGCCGAAAATGGTATCTTGTACTAATTCAAGTCTCACTTTGCTTGAATATGTCATATAAAATTACACAAATTTTTGCATACCTTGATGATTACCTTCTACTACATTGGTAAAACACATGGCAGTGAAGCCTATGTCACTATTTCTAATTATAGTGTCGTCCATCCATCAAGATGGATACCATAATTTATAGCAAGTGTCTCAGACATCGTTGCAATGTCCACATCACATTGTGGTTATACTTTCATCGTGACTAATCAATGTCAGACATGCAAAGTCTATACGTTTTGGCAGTGACTCTAAAGTCACACACTTCCTCAAGAATGAAGTCCAAAATATTAACAATGATTTCATCACATGCGTTGTATTGAAGGATACGCCTAGGTTCACCAAGGATTACCTTGGCCATGATTGTTCTCAAACAAATCATTTTCATTGCTTACATTTTCAAATGCACTAAATTCATAATTAGGTGGGAGAATTTATTTTAAGATGATTCATGACATCAGTCATTGTATCCACCTGTCGCATTGTTGCCACTATAACTCCACCGCCAGGATAATATGTCATGGCTATTATCTTATAGCTAAGTATGTAGATATGCATTTTATATGTCACAAACTTCACTTAGTTCTCAAGCTAAGTACATTATGGCTGAATATTAATTCACTTCAAATATTTCCCTTAAGAGAATGAGCACATCGCGGATGACCACCATTCAGTTTTCAAGACCTCAAGTCTATCTGACAATTTTATCACTTAATCAACTTCAAGTTGAGATCTCGTGATCAAATATTTTCCTATATACAGATCCAGTTGAAAAACCCTTAATTCACCTTTACATCCTCTTAAGATGGTACTACCATTTTTATGATCAAGAAACATGGAATTTCTTCAAATCATCAGATTCACCCAACGGGTGCTATACCATAATTTAAAATTCTTGTTGGTACCGAGAATACTATGCAAGTTAGTGGTCACAAGATAGAACCATGAGGAATTCGAAGTAAAGTGGAGGCTAATAGACAACAAAGACAAAATTATCTCTTAATAGGAATCGATACTTTTCAAATGATCAAAAGGCACCTCTCAAGTTTGTCAGATGCGTGGTTATATAAATATTGCACCTATGATTACCAAACCCTCAAACATATGGTCGAACCATAATAATTTTTTATTATTAAAAGGCCAATAAGTTCAATGGGATAAATTTGAAAATTTGCAAATAACAACCAAATTCTGGTAAAGGATTATTCTCAGAATCTTCATCAGAAGGAGGACCAAAATCTAGTGTAGAAAATGGAGGATGAAAACATTTGCACTCAATAATATTGGAGACCTCAGGTAATCTCCTCATTATCCCAACATATTACTAGCCTATATACTTGTACTACTACATGTAGTAAATGTAGGGGAACGTTGCAGAAAAAAAATCCTACGGTTTCACCAAGATCCATCTATGAGTTCATGTAGCAACGAGTGATCGGATGCATCTACATACCTTTGTAGATCGCGAGCAGAAGCGTTCAAAGAACGGGGATGAGGTAGTTGTACACGACGTGATCCAAATCATCGGAGATCTTAGCACCGAACGGACGGCACCTCCGCGTTCAACACATGTACGGAACAGCCACGTCTCCTTCTTATTGATCCAGCAAGGGCAGAGGAGAGGTTGAGGGAGATGGCACCAGCAGCAGCACAACGGCGTGGTGATGATGGAGCTGCAGTACTCCGTCAGGGCTTCGCCAAGCGCTATGGAGGAGGAGGAGGTGTTGGAGAGAGAGAGGAGGCAACCAAAGGCGTGGATGAAAAGCCCTCCTTCCCCCACTATATATAGGAGGGCCAAGGGGGGGTGGGCGCCGGCCCTAGGAGATCCAATCTCCTAGGGGGTGCGGCCAAGGGGGAGGAATCCCTCCTCCCCAAGGCACCTAGGAGGTGCCTTCCCCTCCTAGGACTCTTCCTCCTTGAAACCCTAGGCGCATGGGCCTCTTGGGGCTGGTGCCCTTGGCCCATGTAGGCCAAGGCGCACCCCCTACAGCCCATGTGCCCCCCCGGGACAGGTGGCCCCACCCAGTGGGCCCCCGGACCCTTCCGATGGTCCCGGTACAATATCGATAACCCCGAAACTTGTCCCGATGGCCGAAATAGTACTTCATATATATAATTCTTTATCTCCGGACCATTCCGGAACTCCTCGTGACATCCGGGATCTCATCCGGGACTCCGAACAACATTCGGGTTACTGCATATACATATCCCTACAACCCTAGCGTCACCGAACCTTAAGTGTGTAGACCCTACGGGTTTGGGAGACATGTAGACATGACCGAGATGACTCTCCGGTCAATAACCAACAGTGGGATCTGGATACCCATGTTGGCTCCCACATACTCCACGATGATCTCATCGGATGAACAACGATGTCGAGGATTCAAGCAACCCCGTATACAATTCCCTTTGTCAATCGATATGTTACTTGCCCGAGATTCGATCGTCGGTATCCCAATACCTCGTTCAATCTCGTTACCGCAAGTCACTTTACTCGTACCGTAATGCATGATCCCATGACCAGACACTTGGTCACTTTGAGCTCATTATGATGATGCATTACCGAGTGGGCCCAGTGATACCTCTCCGTCATACTGAGTGACAAATCCCAGTCTCGATCCGTATCAACCCAACAGACACTTTCGGAGATACCTGTAGTGCACCTTTAT